AGAACGAGGAGTAATGGTCTCAAGTTGCAGTGCGGGAGGTTTAGGCTGGATATTAGGAAAAACTTTTTCACTAGCAGGATGGTGAAACACTGGAATGAGTTACCTAGGGAGGTGGTGGAATCTCCTTCCTTAGAAGTTTTTAAGGTCAGGCTTGACAAAGCCCTGGCTGGGATGATTTAGTTGGGGATTGGTCCTGCTTTGACCTGGGGGTTGGACTAGATGACCTCCTGAGGTCCCTTCCAACCCTGATATTCTATGATTCTATTGCAGGTTAACAAATTTTGCATTTCACTATAAGGGATAAAAACTCCAAGGATGCTGCATTGAACAAACATACTATAGCAGTAACCATTATAATGGTGATGTTTTAGGGACAGGAAGCGAATATTTCCACTAGTTACAGCAACAAGAAAAAGTACAGCGGATAGGCACAATACAATAGCTCATACTGGACTCTTGTGAGTTCTGGGAACTAGTGGCCCTATACTTAAGAAATGAATTGTGTTATCTTTAAAAGCCACAAGTGACCAGGACTTTTATTTGATGTGCCATTTGAAAAATGGCATCTCTATCATAGATTATAAAGGCCAGAAGAGACCATTGTGATAATTTAATCTGACTTCCTGCATAATACAGACCACAGAAATTCACCTAGGAATGCATCTGAATCATTGAGGCATAGAATAGCATTACTCAGGAGCAGAGCTTGAGCTGTTGCCCGGCTATTGGCTAATAAGCATTATCTATCCACCCCCTTTGGTCAGTGTTTTCGCTCAGTCCTCATTACTTCATATTTTCTCCATCATCACTTCCATAAGTCCCATCATCCCCATGTCCCTACACTGGCACATGCTGAGCAGAAACGTATGGGGACTAGCTCCCCCCACAAATCACCATGTAGGTGCTACTCAGCCCCACTTATCCATCTAATGCACACAGTACAGAAGGAAAGGAGTACTTGTGGCACCTTAGAGACTAACCAATTTATTTGAGCATGAGCTTTCGAAAGCTCATGCTCAAATAAATTGGTTAGTCTCTAAGGTGCCACAAGTACTCCTTTTCTTTTTGCAAATACAGACTAACAGTACAGAAGCAGTTTGATTGGATGCAGCACCTCCTACAGTGAGAAGAAGTGCTCCCCTGATATCAATAAGCCCCATCTTTTCACTGATTGATGGGAGTTGCTGTGTCCAACCAAGCTGATTTGGTGTGGCACTGAGACAGCACAGGCAGACAGGAGAGAAATCAAGTGGGAAAAAGTAAGTACAAGTGCTAAAAGGGGTGGGGGAAATGGGTTAAGACATAAGGAGGAAAAAGTGTCAGAGGAGGATAGCGTGTCGGAAGAAATACAGAAAGCAACAAGGGAAAGGAAAGATTGTCATCAGTGAGATTTAGGAGCCTCATACTTAAGGCTGTCCTGAATTGGGACCATAAGGAGAAGAACAACAGAAAACAAGAGAAAAATTACAGAAAAGAGGGAGAGAGAGGAAATCTACCTTACCAGGAGCAGTCCATCACAGATTAAAGGATCTGCCTCAAGATGAGCCAATTCAGGCATTAGGAAGTTTAGGAATGATAAAGGAAGACGAAGTCATCTGCCCTAAGGTAAGAAAAATGGTAAGGGAGAAACCTGAAAATAAAAAAGACACAGGGGAAGCAGAGAGGGAAAGGTGTTGGCTCTTCTTATTAGATGGAATATGGCCCAAACAGGCTATGTTTAATGTTTAACACTATGATTATTTTTCACGACAAACTGAACATGGGTACTTATATTGATCAGGCTTTAGCCAATGGTGGTCAAGAGTGGTTCCTTTCATCTCCAAAATATTAAAAAATCCAGAGCTCTTTCTTTTTTGGGGAGAGCAGGGGGGAAAGAAATGTGGATTGCACCACAATGATCCATGCCTTTGTGACAGATGGATGAGATTACTGTAACTTGCTTTACTTGGGGTTATCCTTGAAAATGATTTGTAGGCTGTGGCTGTCATAGAACATGGTATCGGGACTACACAACAGCCTTTATCTGCAAGCCAGCAATGCCCATGTGCACAACCTTCACTGGCTGTACATAAGGAATGTTAGCAACTGCACATCAAAGTCTTACTGTTACTACTGCAAGCATTAAGTAATATGGGACCTGTCTTCTAGAAGTCTGTTGACTTTATGTGCCATTGAACAACTCCATTAGATGAAACTGGAACTGAATCATCCTGAGGTGTAATTTAGCTGCAGTTTCTAGATGATTAGAAATCAGGTCCTTCTTTGTTGTGGGTCTGCAACTCTAGAATACTCTGCCCATTGATATGTACCAGTGTAAGGCCCCCTATTCAGGACAGCACTTAAACTCATGCTTACAGCCAGGCACATGCTTAAGTGTTTTGCTGAATCAGAGCCTATAGCCATAGTATTCTTCTAATCAAAGCTTAAGACAGTTTTTGTCTACTGCTTAGTTCTATCAGGGCTGTCTGTGGTTTTATTTATAGAGTGGTACCTTATCAGGTTGGAACTCTTTCCCCAAAATTGGGCTTTATTGGTGTGTGGGTGTGTGTGTGTGTGTGTATGTTGGCTGGAGGTTCTGAATCCCTAATTTAAGGATGTATTTGCCCAGGGAAGTAGGATGACAGAGGACGTAGCCTAAAAAAAGGTAGTAATAACAGTAACAATATTTTTGTGCTTTTATTGGTGTAAGCACAAAAATATTGTTATTGTTATTACTACCTTTTTTTAGGCTACGTCCTCTGTCATCCTACTCCCTGGGCAAATACATCCTTAAATTAGGGATACAGAACCTCCAGCCGATCTCGCTTCTCTTTGCATCTCTGTCCCCCTGCTGCTTCTCCCTGCCATCCTACTAATTTCAAAACATTTTAAACCTGACCAAGGCTTTGCCCCTGGATTGTGTGGAGGTAGGATGCTAAATGGATTACAAAATGCTTGACTAATAACAGGTTTGTTTTTGTTTTCCCTCACCTTGAAGTCCCAGCCTACGTGCTCCCTGAAACTCGTTTTTTCTCCAGAAGGTTGCTTTGAATCCATTTCCCCTCCTCTTTGGTATTACACTAACCTTTCAGTTCCATGCCGTCAGGAAATTGCTTAATGATTACTGAAAGGTGTTCAAATACTACAGTGATGAGTGGGGTATAAAAACTTATATAGAATAGAACAGAAAAGAAAATGTGCACATTTATACATCTGAGCCATTATTATATAACAGATGTCTCTGATTTTTCCCTCCCTTCCCCCCCTTCTCTTTTCATCTCTCTTTTTGACATCTTCAGTCATTCCTCTGTCTCCCTCTCTCTTTCTCTCTTGCACTCTATCCCTCATTCTTGGTAAGTACCTAATTTACATCCTGTCAGAGTCCCAAAACTTCAAATTAGGCCTGAGTAAAATTTTCTCAGTGAAACCCAGAACCATGCAACACCCTGTTTTGGGGTTTGAATACAGAGATAGTATGGGCTAGTGTTTGGATAGTCAGCTCTAAGTCAGGAGAGTTGCACTCTCTCTTCTGCCACTGATATCACTGTGACATTGGACAAGTAATTTAATCTCTCTGTGTCCCTTTCTCTGCCTAGGAAATTAGGATCCACCTTTGTAAAATCACTTTGAGATCCTTGGATGAAAGGTGCCATCCAAGTGGTGAGTATTATTATTATTTAAAATGAAATTATGGAATAAACTCACTGAGTGGTGTGCAAAACTTTTCGGTTGAGATTTGAAGCAAAACCTTTTGTTGTCTCTGGACAGGCATATGTTTTTCAAGACTGAGTTTTGTGGTTTTGTTATGAAACTTATGACAGTTGGTCATGTGGTCTGTCTTCTGGGCTGAATGAACCCTCATGAATCCATACACAATGCACAGAGCTTAGTGAATCACACCACTAAAGTTTCGGTTTGGCTTTTACTGAACTGAGTTTGCATGAACCTAAATTTCAAGGGGTGAGGAACCCTGTGAATTGAAGCCAATAAAAAAAAGTTTGCCCAAACCCATGTGAACCACAACCAACAAGTTATGCACAGCTCTGCTACAAATCCTGCCCTCAATACACATATGTAATTACCTCTGGTTCCCTCCTGGCTTTACAGGACAGGATGTGGCCAATGAGAACCTAGTACTGTGTAACCTTAGCTCCCTACTTCCTAGCTCTTATGGTTTACGCTACTTTTGACTCTCACAATTTTTCCAAGTCCAAAAGTGCTTGATCTTTATAATCCTTCAGGTTGAAGTGAAAACCATCTCCTCCCAGCGCTTGCACACCTGCCCTCTGGCAGCCCATGTCAGAGGACTTGTGGTTAGAGCAGAAGATTGAAACTCAAAGGACTCCTCAGTTCTATTTCCAGTTTTTGCTACTGACTCTGTGTGTGATCTTGGACAAATCACCTAAATTCTCTATCAGTTCCCCCGTCTGTAAAATATAGATAATGATACTTCCCTGCCACGGGCATGGGGAGGCTTAATTAATTAAGATTAGTAGGAACTTTACAATGCTTAGGTGGGAAAGGGAATGCATGGTGTTATTTAACTCTGGGGATGGTTTATGTTTAAGCTAAAATCTCAACAGATTGAGGTGGAGACAATTTTGATTGGGCAAAATCCCTCCTCCCTCAAGATACAGAGTAAGCAATCTGATTTTTTTATTCCCCCCCGCTCCCCGCGTTGCTCATTTGAATAATTCCTCCCCGCACTGGGAGCCTTAAAAGAAAGAAAAAAGCTTTTGATTGCACGGTGCTGTCTGCACAGCTTCTGCCTCTGCCATTTTACTGGGACACAGCAGACAGCTTTCTCCCTGCCCCCAACCCAGCCGGGGCTCTTTCCTGTCTCTGAGCTCCCCCAGTACAGCAGCGAGCTGAGCTGGGCTGAGCTGCCTGCCTGGTGTGTGTGTGCAGCTAGGCCTGTCACTGGAGTTTTAGTTTGCATCCTGAAGAAAGGAGGCGGGGGCAGGGCGGAGGGAGGGGGAACGTCTTGTTTGTGGCTTGTCAGCAATTGCTGGAGACAAGCTTCCATGTGTGAAAGCTACTTGGCATGAATGCCTGGGCCGTACCAAGTGCCGCGGCAGCGAGAGGGGGAGGCAGAAGGAAAACCGATCAGGCCAGAGCAGACAATAGGCCCCTAAAGTGTTCCCCCTAAGTTGCTTTGATGTTGTCCTAGTGTCTTGGTAGCGGGAGGCCGGGGACTGCGGGCGCAGGGGCTCGCTGTGTTGGCCGCCGCGGCCCCCCCCCGGCTCGGCGGAATGACTCCCCAGGAATCCCGCGCCTAGCAAGGTAAGAGCGGCAGCCGCAGACCCCGCTCCCGGCCGCGGCGGGCGGCAGCTCGGCGGAGCCGCCCGAGCGCTCCGTGCCCGCGGGGGCTCGTTCCGCCGCTGCCGGAGCCCGCGCCCGGCCCCGCCGGCTGGAGACCCCCGAGCGGACCCCGCCGAAAGGCGCGCGACGCCTCCCCCGCCGGGGCCGGGGCCGGGGCCGGCGTGGGGGTGGGGGGGAAGCGGGGCACGGCCGGGCGCAGCAGGCTGCTGGAGGCCTCCTGCCTCCCCCGGCTCGGCGGCGGGGCCGCCGCGGCTGCATCGCACCCTGCTGCGTCCCCGGGGGCTGGGGCAGGCGGTGCGCCAGAGCCGGGGCGCTCGCAGCCCCTGGGCCCCGGGGGCATGGCAGGCGGGGGGAAGCCAGAAACTTTTCCACGGCCGGGCGTGGGGAGGGCTCGGTGGAGAGTTTGATCTCTCGCCCTCCGTGCCTCAGTTTCCCCCTCCTCCCCCATCTGCAAACAGGAGGTGGTGAGAGTGACCTATCTCAAAGGGGCGAAATTCCATCATGTTTGTAGCCTGCCCGGCGAGCCTCAGGTGGAAGGTGCTAGAGAAGGACGAAGTATTATATATTATTTATTATTAAAGAGACCCTGGCAGAAACCGACTAGAGAGCGCAGATCCAGTGTCTCAGCGTGTCTCAAGGAACAAAAAGCTTTTCCCACCTGTTGGCTTCTGTCCTTGTGTCTTTTTGGAAGATTTATTGGCCGATTAATAGTGAGAATGAGGTGGGAGGAGGGGTTGGGGTTTTTCTTCTGCCTCGCCCCTTGTACATCTCTTAAAGAAAAATAGTGAGATGCCAGAGAGAGAGGAAAACCCTGGGTTTTTTGTCATTGTGTATTCCAGACCTTGTGTTTTTTTGGACCTAACTGAAGCAAGGCAGATCTGTAAACTACCACAGGGCTGGAAGATTTTTATTGTGGATTTTGGAGATTAAATGAGATTTATTTACAATTGCTATTTATCGGCGAGTAAATATCTGTCTGTGTGTGAGGTCTGTTTACTCACTAGTGGTTTTGTGGCTATAACCTACTGCTGCTGAGGTGATGCTGCGAAAGAGCAAAAAGGGAGAGGGGGTGATGCCTGAATCCTGATTCCCAATCCTTACAAAATTAAAATCAAAATTGTTCTTGATTTTGTGAATTTTCTTTCTCTCGAGATAAATTCTGATATTATTTTACTGGAGTGAAACTTTGGCACTAGGTGGATCCTCCTGATGTCTTTTAACTTTATCACCTAATCATAATTCTAGGGTTTCCCTGATTCTTGCTATTTGTTGAAAAGTAATTTACAAGAGCGTGAGCTGCACAAATGTTGATCAGCCTAAGGTCCTGACACAACCTAGGTCATGTAGGAGCTGGAATAGAGAGCAAGAGTGAGGATTCATGCTTTCCCAATCAAGGCCTGGAGGAAAGCATCATGTGTTAAAGAATCTGAGCAGAATGGGAGATGGGGGAGGGAGATGAAATTGGCCTGAGACCCTCCTCAGGCTAGCAAGGAAGATGGAGGCTCCGTATGGTGCTGCAAAAAATGTGAAGGAGAAATTCCGTTCAGTTTCCCTCTGCCTCACCCCCTTCTTGTAAAAACAAAACAAAAAGCCCCCACCAAACCAAAACCGGTATTTGATATAACATGTGCTGCACTAGCTGTGTCTCATACACTCTACAGCATTAAAAAACACAGTTATGGAGGTAATAGCAGAGGGAGAATTTGAGATGTTCAGTCAGAGGAGGAAAAAAAAAATTTCAGGTCAGATTTTAAATGAGACCGACAGACAATGAGGCAGGGGGATCAAAGAAGCCTGTTCCTGGTGGCAGGACCTGCAGACGAGAAGGCTCTGGCACTTATGCCATTGAGATTGGATGAAGAGATGGAGAGGAGCACAGTGCTCGATGAACAGAGGCAGTAGGGAGAGAGGAGATCCAAGAGACAGGCTGGACCAACTCCATGGAGGGTTTTTAAAAGAAGGGATTTTGAAGTAGATCCCGACATGAATAGGGAGCCACTGGAATTGTCTGAGGGCAAGTGCGATGTAGCTGTACTTCATTGTACATAGGAAAAGGGAGAGAGCAACATTCTGCATAGGGTGGGATTTAGGTGGGCCATGGAGAAAGGAGTCACTGTGTCAAGGCGGGTGGAGATGAAGGCATCAGTGAGGTTTTTACCAGGGGCCAAATCAGGTATCTGGATAAACAGAGATCCTCAAGGTCTGCCTCTCATGTTAGAGATTTGTTGCTGAATTTCTATTTCTATGCTGGAATCTGGTAACCAAAATATGATCATCCTGCACTCCACATCCCCAAATAAATATGTATGTGTATTAAATACATGTTATTTCATGTGCATGCCTCTAAACACTGCTCCTCTGCACACATGTTCACAGCAACACCACATGCGTAACCACAAATGGCTACACAGCACGTGATTCCTGCAGAAAGAACAACGCACATGGCTCATACACAGGTATGACCTGATTCTCTATTGCCCTGCAACTTATGTAGTAGTTTACGCCAGTGCACAGTGGATGCAAAATGCTGTCACATCACAATGATAGCTGTTTGCACCCACTTTGCACTGATGGAAATGTCTACACAAGATGAAGGGCAATTGGGAATCAGATCCATGTGTTCTGTACTATAGTGACTATGTACGATACAATGGTCCTGCGCACCTAAGAAGACTCACACCACAGTTGCTGTCTTGCACATTTGTGAAACAGACATTACACACACAAACCGCATATACCGGACCCTCGCTAGGACGCACGTCTATATAGCGCGAATTTGCATATAACGTGGTCGCAGCCATGGATCCCAAATTTGATTACTTTAATTGGAATTAATTTTAATGCAGTCCCCACTATAACGCGGTACCGTGCATGGATCCCAAATCCCATGTTCTAGCAAGGGTCCGGTGTACTACAAGACTTTTAAACTACACACACCCCCCCTTTCCAGGAGTCAAACATACCACAACTTGTTCTCCTTATTAAGACGTAAAATAGGAGGAAAGGCAGTTTCTGCTCATGGGATATGTGCATATCACACTTTTCACACACAAAGAATACACACAGTCAGCGTTGCACCTGTTTAAATTCAGCCCAGGCTGGCAGTGAGTGAAAGTTACCACCTGATGGCTTTTCCATGTCCTGTGTGGCTTCAGTTTAGTTCCTAGTGGATAAAGGTCAGGTCACAAAACAAAACCCAACAATAGTGAGCACTAATTGGTCCCTTGGTGGCAGTCTTAGCAGAAAGGCGAAGGACTGAATGGGCATGAAAACTGGGGTGGTGAACCAACTGACCAAATGTTGAGAATCTGCACAAATAGTGAACAGTGAATTGGAGATGACAAAGTCAAAACCAGCACTGCATTATGGGTGTCAAGAGCTGTCCATGCTGGGGTGAGGAGAGCAAGAGGCTGCTTCCTCTTATCATCTGACAACTCAATCTGCTGTCAGCACAGAAGGAAGGCTTGTGCATATTTTATGTCACTTTCCTCCTTCCAGGAAAAACTGCTGATCTGATCAGCTCTGCACTTTAAAATCCTAGATGCACTGATCAGTAAGTATGACCTGAGGCCAAAAACAAGCAGTGGCCTCCTGCCTCTGTTTCCTTGTGAACATCAGTTGCACCTTATCCTGCCTTGCAGAGGGAGCACATGCAGAACAAACCATGTGCGCCCCTCATAAAGTACAACACAGGATGCAACTAGCTGGATGGAGACAGAAGAAGACAATGGCAATGTGTCAGGAGGACATGGGGGCAAATCGGTCATTTCTTCTTCTGTTTGATGATGTTAAAAGGAGACCAAAGTAGCAATTTGGTTTTAATTTTGAACCTTATGTGAGTTGCCCTGGTCAGTTGACGCATACTGGATTTTCATGTGCAGTTTAGGATCTGTGGGGGTTGGCAGTAAACAATTATATTTTATTGCTTCAGATTAGGTTTTTGGTTGTCTAAGGCTGCCAAACAAAGGTTTTTCCTAGCCTGCTCCACCAACATTATTTCTATATAGCAGACATTCAAGTCACAAACATTATTCCTACACACCGAAGATTTGCACACCCCAAATGCTCTCTACATACCAAGAAGGTATAAATCACAAACACATTTTAAGGCTCTGGACGGACACACACACACACTATTCTTGTGCTCTGGAGACATACTGATCATCATAAACACCATTCCTGCAATCTAGAGAGACAAACATTTTGCTACATAGCGACATAAGCATCTCAACTAACAGTGTTCTTACTTTCTGCTTCACTGGGCCCATTTGAGAGACAGTATGTTCTAGTGGACTGAGCAAGGGGACTGAAAGCTAAGAACATTTGAGATCTTGACACTGATTTGATGTGTAGCCTTAGGCAAATCAGCGGTAAAGCTAGCATTAACCTCTGTGAGTCTCAGTCCCAATCTGTAAAATGGGGCTAATACTTACCTACCTCCTAAAGTGGTGTATTTTAGGTTGCTACGATAAAAGTTTGTAAAGTGCTAAGTGCTTTTTTTTGGGGTGTACAGTATTACAAAATCATATAACGTAAAAACATGCAAAGCATGTATTTTTACACACATAACAGGTGAGACTCATCCTGTTAGAAATTCTAATATAAACTAACTATTCATGCACTCAGTGCTATCTTGAGTGCTCCAGGATGTTCTATTCTTTCAGCAAGAACAAAACAACTTTTCAGTGATATACATTGTATATATACCCAAGTGAGAATATTATAAACCTATTGCACACTTCATATAACAGTTACTGTCCACATTCCCATGCACAGCAAGAAATTGATTAACAAAATACGAGCGCCTGAAGCTATATCACCTCAGACTGTGATCTCCCAAATTAACCAAGGTCTGGTCAATATCTGGGTTATAAACTTGGAATGATGATGTGGGGAGCCTGGTGTTTGTTTGTGATTCAGTATGCTTCCCTCTGGGCAGTACTGAACCAATTTCTCAGTAT